CGATTTTTAGGAGCCATTTGAAAACGCTGCATAGAAAATTAAATTTTAGACAAAAAAGTATTTGTAAATGTAAGTTTGAAAATGCTTTCTTTACGGTATTGAAAAATTGAATTTTTTTCTAAAGATTTATCGTAAACAGCAGCTGGTATTTTAGACATACAGGCACATGTTTATATGAGATTTGTCGCTTTAAAGTCAACTTTTTTATGTATAGTTTTCATATGCTGATTAATCCCATTATGGTGTTTTTTCTTCCAACTAAACCTTATGGTGTTTTTTCTCGAAAAAGATGCGTCGTACAAAAAGAGCTAAAGACAGACCGGGACGAACAGCGAAATCACCAGTTTTTAATTAATTAAATCTAATCTAATTAAAGAAAAAACAGAGGCGCGCAAATTTTCTCTGTAAAAATATACACAGGCGTAACTGTACGACACCGGTTTGAATAACTTTGTTTTATTCAGTGCAAAACGAAAATCGATATCGTATTGTCTTTAAAATTCAATTTTTTGTTAAATTTTTAAACACGCCTGTGGATCCCACAATCGTTTCCAGACTTGCATTTCTGTTTTGCTTAAAATTAAACTTGCTACGTGCCCTTTAATCCCGGCTCGTTTATAGCTTCTTAGCAAATCTTCTACCTGAATTCATATTTTGGGGTATCGGCTCTTTTGTTAAAATTTAGGTCCTCATCCAAGCATCTGCTTTGATTAAAAGTTGCAAATAAAATTTAACATTTAACTCAACAAATTTTCTTGGATTTTAATGATTCTATTGAAACTGAATTCAAATAGAAAAAGTTGGTCGCATTTCAAGTACCTACACTGTACAAGGGGGCCAAAAACTTAAAACCCAAAAAGTCGAATTTTAACGTACATATTTCTACAGCACTTTACATCGGTCACGTTGAGGCAATCGTTAGTTGATTTAAAGTAAAATTATTATCTAATAATTCTCGTATGGCTTTTTGCGCGTCTTATTTTAAACGAAACTGTGCTACTAACTACCTACTAATTAGTAGCAAGCATTAAAAAAAGATAAAAGTTTATCATGTTTTTAATAAACGAAGCAAATAATTGCTGAGTACTAAAATGAAATGAAGAAGAACAAGGCTTTCGTCTATTCGATCATTTCTGGGGATAATTTTAAAAGAATACAATCGAACTGAACAAAATAAAAAATGTTTTTTTATTCAACGATATTTGAATAAAAATGTTAATTATTATACATATAAAATCAGTCCGAGCTCAAGAGTGCAAATGATATTGAGAGGCGACGAGAAACTATCAACTTTATTTATAAAAAAATGGCCAAGAATCATTTGAATTAAATTCAAAAGGCATTAATTACTTATTAAGTTAAAAATGCCGTTGGAAATTGATATTCATACTCGATTAAATTAACTTACCGCTGCTGTATTCCTCAAGCCCTCCAATTTTGCAATTTCCACCGGATTTTTCGAACATACAATCTTTTGTACGTTCTTTCCCAGTTTCAGTCCATTTCTCAAAATAGAAAACGCCATTTCTGCACGATAATTCTAACGGTACAGCAACGAGTGACGACAAATTGATTATCAAGGATAAGTTCAAAGAGTTTTAGGTGTTTAAAGTGATCCAAAAACGACACCCCAACAGCTGGTTACAAAATCGACAAACAAAGCACTAATGGTAAGAGGGCGACTGTGAAAATCGATGGGTGTCTGGTCGCACTGAACGCACTGAACACGTTTGAATCGTTCTTCGGTTAAAAGAGACCTCGGACCCCACTTGGACGATTTAAAATGCAAGAATGGTATACAGGCGATAATCGTAATCACCAACAAGCGGGCTAGGGTGGTACTTTGTACTGAAAAAGTGTTTCCAACACCAACAGAAAACAAATATTTGCAGGGGTTTGTCCAATACTAAGCCTCAAAAGCTAAAAAAAAAAACATTTGGTTGATGCTTTGCATCCAATTTTTTCAAATGTTAAGCTCAACTAGTAGAGGGCATCAAATTAATGAACGTATCCATTCAAATCGAAGAACAATAATTTGGGAAAACCCCAGTTTTTTAGCTAGAAAAATCCCCTGAAGAAAAATTGAAAGAAAAGGAAAAATAAACAGCAATTACATCGTACCATTCCAATGCTTGTAAACAACTTTCAATCATATCTGATGGTCGCATTTCAGTTCAATGTACGGCCCCCCCGTCTATGTTCACCTCAGATATTTTCCAGCTTCATTCATATACAGGATGTCTACGTTTAATTTTAAAGCAAACCCGTCAAACAAGCCCAATTTTGTTTTTTTAACCTTCCAACTTTACAGCCCCCAGAATCTACAGGGCGTTTCGGTGCCAGCAAATTTGAAAGATTTAATGGAAACAAATGAGTTTTATGCTTTTTAAAGCATTTTCGCTGTTTGCTTGAAAAAAAAACATCACACTGTAGTTTTGCACGGGTTTTAATCAATTTGAGATAAACGCAATGATAAAAGTATATTTTTGCTCTGGGTCACTTTGGCTTCGAAAAAAATACAATATTATCCCTTAGTGCGATTTATCCACTTCATAGTATTAATCCTACCTCCTTCCAAAAAATATTAATTTAATTGTTTTTATAAATTAACAAACTTCGATATATTTTCAGTTAAATTTGAAGAATCGCTGTTATTTTTCCGAAAAACTCACCCAATTATCGCGGTTCAATCGCATTGTTTCGAATCGTCCCTGGTACATCGGTAGTGTGCGAGAAAGAACAACTGATTTCCATGACAACCGCTATATTATTTTCTCTCTTGACTGTAGCTGGACAACGTCAGTTTGATTACGAGGTGAGATGGAAACTTGGATGCTTCTTCAAGCTTACACAGCTCTGAGGATACAAGCAAATCGTAAAAAAAATTCTCCGATGTCCCAAAAGACGGAAAACCTCATATGGTACCTTTCTTATGGTATGAACAGCTATAGAACTGAACAAATACCCGTTTGTATGTGTGTGGAAGCCAAAAATGTTTTTAATCTAATTCAGATGAAAAAGCTTTTCGAAGAAGCATTTTGAGAGGGTAAATAAACAAACAGTCTGAGACAAAATCTGGACCTCTACAAGCGACTGAAGATATAAAATCTATAAACTGTTCAAATATAGAATGAGTCGTAGATAAGTTCTATATTGTTGAGGCGGATTCATTTTTTTACAAACTTCTTGTTGGGTATTTCGCCTCAAAAATTTTTGTCTTTAAAACAGACAGAATTTCCTCACGTCTTTTATTACAGATTGATAAATAGTGCTCCTATTTCGCAATAAGAAAGAATTATTTATCAAAAAGATATTTATCAAGCTGTAAGAGAAAATTCCAATTAGTAAAGAAATTAATTTGAAAAATTACCTTGACGTTTCGATAACTATTTTCTGCTATCGTTATCAAAGGAACCTAAATGAACCTAAAAAAGAGTATGTTAATAAATTGTGTATGAGTATGATGTATTAAATAGAATGAGTCCATATCAGCTTTTTGTCCGTGGAAAGAATATGTATTTTTTACCTTTTAGGTTTCATCAGAATTTGTAAACCGCTACGGAGATAAAAGCAGAAATGTACAAAGTTTGGGACCCTTTTGGGAATGTTTTAAACATTTTGTGAAACTTCGCAATTTTGATAGCTCGAATTCGCAAAATTGCTTTTTTGCAACATTAGACACAGTTTTTCGACAACCAAACACTTTTGGAATCGACAACCTGACTCAAACTTGCTCTTATTTTAAATACTAAATCAGAAAATAATATCAAAATTAGAGGTTTTCATTTGAAAAAAATTATTTTGTGCGGTTTTCTCAATTTAATTTTGAAACTGATTTTTTAACATTTTGTATTTATTATAATTATCAAAGAGTGAAAATGTTATTAAAGTCCTTTTCAACCAGACACCCAACTCACATTATATAATACATATTTCCTTACAAGAAAAATTAATAATATTTATTCTAGTGCTTGCAACTGTAATTTTTGAGATAAAATTTGAAATGAACCAAAAACGGTTAAATTTATGTATATAATATTTTACATAAAACATATTTAAAATGTGGAGTAGAATCCCAAAATGTAATAATATACAGGGTGTCCCATTTAAAGCAAACATGCTGAGACCTATTTCCAGTATAACCAGAAGTTTGACCATTTTAAAAATATTTTACATCGTTTGCCCTCAATGACTTCGGTATACTCGTAATGGCCGGTAATTAGAATAATTTTCAAAATTATTCTAATTATACATTGTGTACATATACAAAAATTATTAATGAATATCAAGTGACCGTTTAGTATTTTTATTTAATTTATAATTGATTAGATTAATTGAAAAAATAATTCTGCTTATTTCATTTATCTTCGTGTTTTTCATACATTTTCATACAGATATCTTTATGTATTTATATTTATAGTTTTCCTTAATTAATGGCCGGAGATAACGCCTCCTGATTCATCTCGCAATGACATTAATAAACGTCTATATCACGTCTCCTAACTGAGAGTGAAAAGCACTAAATTACCAAATATATTTTTATAAGGGCCGGTTGCGCAATCCAAGTTCAGCGGTGAACGTGGTTTAACGAAAGTTTTCGGTTGTACCAGTCGCGTTTAAGCTTGAACGGCAGATTAAATCCGAGTTCAGTTTTACCGCACAGTTTGTGCGGCACAGAACGTACCTCCTTAGGAGCGGTTGCATAAAAGCAAGTTCAACGATGGTTCAGCAGAACCGAGTTCGATTATTCACGGGTTGTACAACGCCTAGCGGAACTCGGTTCAGTTGAACTGGACAATCACATCAATTTTTTTTCTCAGGTGGGCTCTTCCGAACCTTTGTAAAATGTGCTATTTGGTAAACTTTGATTGGCTACTATGTTTGTCGTGGTACAACCCGTGAATAATTGAACTTGGTTCAGCTGAACCATCGTTCAACTTGCTTTTGTGCAACCAGCCTTAAGTCGATCTTTCCCCTGGCTAGAGAATTATACTTTATTGCGCAACATTGAACATAACCTATACTGACTGACATTCAACGCAGTTCATTTGTAATCTTCGCTGTTGAACATACACAAACTCTCCAAAATGTCCCTTGGAAAAACAATTTACAATTCCATTTTCAAGAGGTCTTCCACCTTCACTCTGGCTTTCATTGCGTCGGCCTTTATTTTCGAGAGAACGCTGGATTCGGCCTGTGACACCATATTTGACAATATCAATAAAGGGGTATGTTAGTTATGTAATCATTCAGCTAAGAGATTCTCCAAATTTAGGGCCTGCCAATTCAAGCAGAGAACTTTGACGAAGCGATTTACAAACTGCAGCTGGTGATAAAATCGACCAGGTTGAGCTTAGCATGAAAAATCCTTTTTAAACAGACTTCTCCTATTTTCGAAGAAAATATCTATTTAGATTTCAAAATAGGCCTGATGGCAAAGAAGACTGTTTAAAACAGGAGATGTAACATCAAAGTCAGTTTGGCCGATTTTCTCAAAAAACTGCGTTATACAGATAGTCTGTAATACGATTTTACCTTTTCAGAAATTATGGAAGGACATCAAGGACAACTACACCCAGTAATATACTTAGCTCATCTCATATAGTATAACTTATTCTGAATGTTAACGCAGTTTATAAATAAAAAATTCTAAAACAGCTGAAGGAAATTGAACAAATTCGAAATTAAGTACTAAAACTCGATTTTATTGATTATTCCACTACCTCCCACGGTTTTTCTGGCCTGTGCTGGTCCCAAGGGTAAGGAGCTTTATATTGAGGGGGCTCTTTTAGTTCCACCCCACTCTCTTGCAGTGCTTTGAGAAACAGGGCTACTTTGTCAGTCTCGTTGCGAGGTGTGATATAGCAGCTGATCTCTGTAAGCCCTGTTTGAAGGCACCTCATCCCTAGAATCTAAGCTGAGCGTTGAATCACAGCCTTGTAATAATCAACTGAGCTTACCCTGCCTAAGTTAATGTATGCTGACGTATCTTTGGCACTATACAAGAACTTTTTTATGCACCATTCACAGGTGCTTGCCCGCAACACTTCTCCATTTTCAAAATGATTTACAGTGGCTGTAACGTACTTGCTACTGACTTCAAGATTCAGTCTGCAAAGGTTTGAGAATGAATCATATCGGCTAGATCTGTTTAGATGTTCGCTTACTTGTGCCAGTAATTTCTTCCAGGGTTGTCAACGTGATAACCATCGGGCTTGTAACCAATTCTCAACCTTTCCAGGTTTCGAGGATTTCTATTGACAAAAACCGGGGCTAAATTGGGGTTGGCCACCACGGCTGTGCTTGCATTCCGAATGTTTATAAACGAAAGAACAACCGCCCTGCTTTGAGTACCTACTTGCATTTTAGCTGAGAACTAAGGGAGATTTAAAGCAATTAACAGAGACAATTGTCTTTGCAATTAATTATTTGAAACTGTTTGAAATGAAAACAAGAAAGATATTGGTTAACTACTAGCAGCTGCCAATATCTTCTCAATTATGCGACGAAAGTGCACTGACATTAAACTCTCTAACTTCATGGATGTTTTTGTTTCCCATTAACTGTTGCCCTTTGGACTTCCATTGAGTTCGCTTTGAGTATAAAAATACATTCGAATTCTAATTAAAAGATTGAATATTCATTTAAATGCAAAGTCCAGTTCACTTAAGGTGTTACCATGGCTCTGCTACAGAAAAGTCTACAAAAAGGTAAGTTCTGTCCTCCCCTAAAGGTTTGTTTGTGTTATTGTAGTTAGTAGTTTATTAGTCAAAGTATCTCAAACTAGTATGGGTGTGAGTGTTTATAATACTACTTCCAAATATTAACTATTTGAAGGCCATAAGAGTTAAACGTCTCAACAAGTCATTGCCCGCGTTTAGAGCCATATTTTAAGTCAATAGATATGTTCTTTTGATCGTTATTTACTTAAAAATGTGTTATTTAAGGCACGCAATAACTTAAATAATACTAACTATAATAGTAAAGGCCTTTAAGACAGCATATGTACATAAGGGGTGTTCCATTAAAAATAATTATGTTTACGGAACACTCGAACTCCCTGTACATTAGAGCTTATTTGAAAGGAGTCACGCTATGTACAAGGCTTTTTTCCATTTAACCAACTTCATATCATTTACGGTTTTCGATATCCTACTGAAGCTTCTTATCTTGGACACAGTGTATGTACAATCTATAGCCCTACAGGGAGTTTAATAAACAAAAACTTGATATGAAAAGCTTCGAAGGGTCTCTCTCAATTAGCAATATGTTCCAAATATTAATAAAAACAATGTTTTCATTACCTAATTTTAAAAAGAGGAAACAAAACCATGGATCCAATCACATTTGCAATACCACAATTGAATGAAAGTCCAAATTTATTGTTAAAATTAGGGACCATTGCCCTAATTACTATTCAATTTTTCAATTCAGTTTGTCATCCTTCAGTAAAAATTAATTTCGAACAGTGTCGACACAATATATATGCCTAGCTATAGGAAACTTGTAAAATACTCTACTCGCTGATTAACGAGCCACTAAAGATTAGCCCCCTTGCTTCAGTGTGCATGTTCAAGCAAAGGGGCATCGCCTCTTTAGCAGCCCTATCTGAGACTCATCAAATGCTGCAAAAGAGCTGCAGAGACTTTGTTGATGGCGAACTTAAACCAATCGCTGCCAAAGTGGACCGGGAGCATCTGTACCCGAAAGAACAGATCAAAAAAATGGGGGAATTGGGGCTGATGGCCATTGCAGTACCAGAGGAATTTGGAGGCACTGGGCTGGATTATCTGGCATACGCTATTGCTTTAGAAGAAGTATCTCGAGGGTAAGGATTCTTCTCACATCGATTATTTCGCTAAAAAGTCCAATCATTTGGGTGTAAGCATACGGAATTTTATTCACCTTTCTGACTTGTGAATATTTTATGGTTTTGTGTTTTGTCAACCGATCAAATCATGAATAAACCGACAAAAGAACAGTGGGTTAAGTTTAATTTCTAATTAAGTTGGGAAAACGCAAAGGAGATAAGCTGAGATTCATGCTAGTTTTTTTAGTTCTCCACTGAACTTTTGTACAAAATTTATCAATACTTTTGCTTTTTTATAAGCGTTGAGTGACATTTTTCCCTAATGCTGATAGGTCATAACCGAATTTAATAAATTCTTGCAAAGCACCCAAAAAACTGCTCGTGTAATGTTTTATTTTTTAATGTATATATGTTGCTTTTTTTCATCTCTTAACAGTAAACAGTAAATCACTATTTTTTGTCGTTGATGCACAAATATAATTTTCAATTTTTTGTGGTTCACCAATGTTGCCACGCGCAAATGAAACAATATTATCCCGCAATCAGTCTCATTAACAATTTATCATTTAGTTTTGAATAACATCGGTCATTAATACGAACAGAAGCTCTGGTTTATCAGCAGAAATAATGCTGATTTCCTCATCTTGTTTCATAAAAACGTTCAGTTTTTTTTAAGTTAATTAACATTTTGAATAGAAAAAAATATTTTCAGCTGTGCGAGTGCTGGAGTTATAATGTCCGTAAATAACTCGCTCTATTTAGGACCAATTCTCCAATGGGGTACCAAAGAGCAAAAGGAAAAATGGATCCAACCATTCACAACTGGCGAAAAAGTAACTTAATACCAAATAACAGCAAAACCAGCCTATCAATAACCGATCCATTTTTTTAGGTAGGTTGTTTCGCACTTTCAGAGCCTGGCAATGGATCTGATGCGGGTGCAGCCTCAACTACCGCTAAATCAGAAGGAGACAGTTTTCTCCTGAACGGCACAAAGTCGTGGATTACAAACGCATTTGAAAGTGAAGCAGGTGTGGTGTTTGCAACAACCGACAAAAGTCTGAAGCACAAAGGAATTTCGGCGATCATCATACCCAAACCAGTAGAGGGGTTGGAACTGGGCAAAAAGGAGGACAAGTTGGGAATAAGGGGCTCTTCGACTTGCGCGCTTATGTTTGACAATTGCAAAATACCCAAAGAGAACCTCTTAGGGGAGCTCGGCTTTGGCTTCAAAGTAGGAACATTTCTTCCACATTTAAACCGCAAAAGTAACTTTGGTTTTTAAATTAGATAGCAATGATTTGCCTAGACGCCGGTCGAATAGGCATCGCTTCACAGGCGTTGGGCATTGCTCAGGCATCTTTAGAAATAGCGGCTGATTATGCCGCGAAAAGATTGAGCTTTGGAAAGCCGCTTTTAAAGGTAAATGCTACGCAGTTTAATACCGGGCTAGTTTTCAACCAGCGATACATTTTAGCATCAAACCATCCAGAACAAACTAGCTGAAATGGCCTTAAGGCTTGAATCAGCACGATTGTTAACCTGGAGGGCGGCGTGGTTGAAAGACAACCACAAGCCTTACACGAAAGAGGCCGCAATGGCGAAACTAGCCGCTAGTGAAGCGGCCACATTTTTGAGTCACCAGTGTATTCAGATTTTAGGCGGAATGGGGCAAGTGTTTAAGGGAAATTTATTTTTCACCGTACTAATTCTTGAGTTGCAGTTATGTATCAGATATGCCGGCGGAACGGCATTATAGAGACGCCCGGATAACGGAGATTTATGAGGGAACTTCCGAGATTCAAAGACTGGTTATTGCAGCCAACATTATTAAGGAATTAGGAGCTTAAGTTTCAAAAATCTAATACAAGATTACACATATTTTTATATACACAATTCAATTTTGCCAATTTGCTCCATATACTCAGTATATCCAAAAAGGGTGCTGGTAACGTTAAAAAATGGCAATTTATCCCATATGGAAAAACAAAAAAACTATTGGTTTAGATTGCGATTTTATTAAACAATACAATGTACAATACCTTGACTGATATCAAAAACCTGCAAAAAAGTACCTTCCGGTTGACACTGATTACAAACTAGCTCTTAAATAACATCGAAAAATTCAAAAGTATTTAGAACAAAACAGAAAGAACATATCAAAAAATGCGTCTCTTCGAACTTAATAGTGGACAAAACATAAAACCGGTGGACAAATAACCAGAAAATCTTATTGAAAACTGACAGAGACTTAGCGACAGCATTCTGAATGGAAATGCCGTCACCGAAAGGCTGAAGGCATATAAAAATAAGCAATTGTATTCAATGTGTGGTTAACCGTAAAGAGTTCAGAAAAATTCACTGCGATTTTTTCGGGATATTACATGAACTGGGAGTTCTAAAAAGGCATGCATACCGATAGTTAACTAATGCCGTAAGAGAGCAGATAATAAATGCAGTAGATACTTAACAAAACAAAATTACAGAGGCCATAATATTTCAAATGGAATTCACACCCTTCGCACAGAAAACTTTATTAATAAAAAGTCTAATCTACACCTAACTGAAATTATCACATTATCGAATCAAGAAAATATTTCGGCAAACTTGTTCACAACTGTTATAAAATTTTCTACTTGTGAGTCCACAACTGTTCATTTAGTAAAGTAATAAGGCGAGTTCATAGTTTTTTTTATATCGAGACGAATACAGTTACTTTCAAATTAATTTAATCGGCAGGTCTTTTTTCGCTATGCTTTTTTGTGTATTCCTCCGCATTTTTTGTAAACTTCTTCTTATCCTTCAGATATTCTTCAGCTAGGTCTGCCCTTAATGGATGTTCAGGCT